AATGGGTTTTGCTATCTGGCTGCTAGGATTCTTTGCAAATCTAGTCTCTGCCATCAAGGAGTCATTAGTGTTTTGAACATGTTCTTTGAAACAGCACAAGTATTTTGGGTGTGTCCATGAGATAAGGCACGTGTAGACATCTCGCTTCTTCAGAAACAGGATCTCAGCTCTGTTGGGCCTGACTGGAATCTGGCCCAAGAGGCCAGCAGGCCCGAGAATGAGGGAGAGAGCAAGGACCCTTGGACTGCAAAAAAGTCATGTGATTTTGTTGTTGTTGTGTTGTTAAATGACTGGCCTATAGCAGTTTTTTTTTTTTTTCCTCAAAGGCTGCACTTAAATTAATAATTTTAAGCATGGATGAAACATTTCAATAGTTCACTATTAGTATTAGATTACTATATTAGAAGGTGCATCCAACTATTTTATGACCCAAAGTAATTTCTTTTTTTGTAAGACTCAGTCATAAAATCACCCTGTGTTTATGTATGTTTAGATGTGCACTGATATTCTTTATTCCAATTAGTACTCAAATATTTCTTGGGGATAATTCTGTTTTCTACAGTCATCTTCAGCTTCAGTTTCTAAGAGACTGAAGGCCAAGCAAGCAAAGGGTTTAGACAAACATCTAAAACTTTTGACTCTGATGCTATGTGTTAGCCAGTAATTAATATTCATAAAATTAAGCACTTTCCAACTCAAAATATGGCAATAATAAAGATTAAATAGAAAGAACTAAAAATGAGCAAAAGAACATGGCTGATTAAAAAGGTAAAATTGAAGAAATGGCTTAATTTATTCACAAGTAAAACCTCCTAATATGCTTTAAGCAAGTTAGAAGGGTAGGCAATGAAAAATGTAAAAACCCATTTAGTTAGTACATAATTCTTTCTGTAAGGAGGACCTGTTTTCACTAAGTTTGAAAGTGAGAAAAATGTTTCAGTAATTAAGCATCAGTACCACATTGTGAAACATTCTATATGCTTTTTCATTTCATTAGAGAATTAGGCCAAAGGCTGACTCACACTAACATGCATATTATAACTAGAAATATTAAAAATAGAAAATCCAGGGGTAGACTTAGTCATTCAGTTGAATTGCTTCATCTCCATCACAAAAAATATATATTAACATACATGTGAGAAAAGAATTAATTTCCTATACTCTTCTTAGTCCTCAAAAATGACCAAAAAAAAAAAAAATCTTATTTTTGGGTGTGGAAATGGTGAAGACATGAAGCTTACTAGTGAGTGGTAAAAAAACATGGAGTCTCTAAGATGGCATGAGTGACGATTTATTGTGTGAACTGCTGTGAGATACAACAGCATTAAATACATTATTTTCATCCTAATGTTTCTCCCCTGGTAGGTGCCTTTGGGTGTTCCATATACACTCAAGATGTTTAGTAATTATGCCTGAGGTCTTTCTGTTAAAATAATTTTCTGTAACTTCTAATTGCCAAATAGGAAAGTGACAAAGTTAGGAAAAGTGAATTGCTATTAATTTTCACTTACATGATTTCAAAGTGTGTGGATTTTGAAAAAAAATTACTAACAAACATAGCAGTGGCTTATTTTTGTCGGGAAAATAGCCATCACTTAGAAAATTCTGAGGTAAGATGAAATATGTGAATAAATTAAAAATTATTTTTCCAAAATAAGTGCCAGCTTAAAATAAAATATTCAGTTTATACATCTATATGCATTTCTATATTATTTTGAAATTTGGAAAGCTTAAAAGAATACAGTTATGGATGAGGTTAAAGATACTTTCTAGTTGCAGGTCAATTGTCAATATAAAATTCTATGAAATCTAGTTCCCAGGAGAATTTTGCATTTATTCTTGATGACACGTGAATTAGTTATGAATTAGCCAAGTTTATGTTTGGCGTATTGAATTTAGACTTGGAAATTATTAAATGGTAAAAAGTAAGCTTGAAAATATGAATACTTAAAATAATATAAAAATGGAATACATACATTTTAGGAGCTTGATGAGAAATCAATAAAATAATTTTTTAAATCCCCATATATCTATTCCTAGCACAATATGTTAGATTCATTCAGTGCCAACTCAGAATTATGGAGTGACATAAAATAATACATTAAAAATAGACAACATGTGTAAAAAGCACTATAAACATTTTAGTTAACTTTGAGATGTAATTCACTATAATGCATGTGAAATTAGATTAAGTAGAGATTGTATTAGTTTGTTGAATACTATTTTCTTAAACTGATATTTCAGAGGGGATGTAGCTCTAAGAATTAACTGTGTTTAACAAAAACTCTAAATATTTGTTTGCAGGAAATCATCAAATTCTTACAATTTTTGTTTTACTTGAGAGGATGAAATTTCAAACCCCTGTATATCAGAGTCACTCATATATACTTTAGTTTGAAATTATTGAAACTACTTTTCCCAGAAATGTAGGAAATTTGTAAGAAATGTTTTCCTACTGAAAGAATATCTTATATGCCAGAATATAGCATAAACTGACCTAGAATGGAAACTTTATTGAATAATTTAGTATATGTGGGTGCCACATTGCCTTCAACTGTCTGTGGAGCCTCATCCCTTCAAAATAGTATACACATATGTTTGTATATATAGACTATAGAGCTGAAAAACTGTTAAGGGCAGAAAAAACAAACATTTGTTATTCTTAGAAGTTACCTTGAGTTATTTTTAAAGTAAGACAGCATGTAAACATGTAAGTCAATAAAAAGACAAGTTTTGTACAGATAGTCAAAATGCAGTCAATGATATCTTTATCTTAAAAAGATAACCATCGTGCCTCGCAGAATCTAAACTTGGCCGTTGTTTCTCCAATCTAGAACTAATGGTCCATCTTTATTTCATCTGAGTATGTAAATAATAATGACTATTCAATACCAAGCAGGAAGATAAAGGCGCTAGAATACCGTGTGAATGTTTTCTCTCCGCAAACCATTGCGTCATTACACCGTGATGCGGAAGAAGCTACGTGAAATGCAACCCCGTATCAGCCATTTCTCTCAACAAATAACATATTCAGAAACATTTTGGCACGTCTTTAAAACCCCGCAGAACTAAAGTAATGATATCACACGTGGGAAGAGCAACTTCTGACCAAAATACTTCCATATCATGCATACACCCATACATTCACAACACTGGGGATAAGCGTCCATGACATGGTGCGGTGGGTAATCAGCACACAGCAGGCTATGACAGTGTGGGGTGGGGAAATTTGGATACAAGAGCAAACTTGTATTCTTTCACAATAGACCAAAGGTTCACCCGCTTGTACCTTAATAGAGAAAAGGTCAGATATAAGAGATTCCATACAATGTAAGCCAATGCTGAACCAAGTGAAAACTTTCCTAGGAATAATGGAAGGTTCCCTGTTTTAACAAACTTTTTATACTGAGGCTATTTTATTTACTTTGCCTATTCTGCCAACTTAGAGTGCTTGGAAAAACTATATAAACCCGTTCTCATGAAGATAAAGGGCTTTGGGCCAACACTTAGACTCAGTTAGATTATGTTGATTTAAAGATTTAGATTGCTCAGACTGTTTCTAAGCAAAATACATAATTTTTTTTAAAAAAAATGATGAATTCAGTCAGCCCAGAGGGTTGTTAGGTTGAGAAAAATAGTTTTCAAAAAGGCAAAATGATCAACCCCAAATTTGCGTAATGATTGGAATATTACAAAATAAATGGAATTCATAAATTTCTAATGAATGTATTTGCATTACCATATTGTTTCTTTTTAAAAAGTAAGTATTGATTGATTGTTGCTGAGGTAAACCTAAGTTTTCATCAGACTTCTTTGTGCATTGTTTTGTAAGGCAATACTTAATTAAATATATATTTTTTATACTAAAGCTCCTATAGGCATTAACTACTTATTTACTAGAAATTTAAATATATTCTCTCCCAAAGCAGCTATTTGTGTTATGCAAATACAAAGCAATTAAAATTTTTTAGAATTTGCAGTTAAGATAATTAAGTAAAAGTAACTGGATCAAGTGAGTTTTTTTCCCCCCCAGGGATGAAAAAATAAAGTAGCTAGCTATGTTGGGAACAAATATGCAATTTTAGAAGAAAAATTAGTTGAATGATTACGTATTATAAGAAAACTTAGTGCTTTTAAAATAATACTGGCTCTAGATACCTGCTATGAAATTGAGAATCCTTCAATTAGATGAATGTAATGTTTTTGTTCTGTTCATCTAAGGTTATATCTATTCTTAAGCAAGATGTGCAGCAGAATCATCTGAGGAGGTATTTTTAAATGCCCTTTATTCCAGAAATTTCGTTTAAAAGACTGGACTGTTTATGATTTCCCAGCCCCAATTCTTCGCTTGAGTATGTTTAAATGCAATCATCGAATGCTAGATTATGGTGGCCAATTCCGACGACTAATACGCTCTAGTATAGACTACTTTGTGATCTCTTTTTAATCGAACATTTCAAAGGATGCTGCTATCAAAACCCAAAATTGTTCATTTATTATAAAGAATCTCAACTTCTCTTAACATTAAGAAGGGATTCTAAAAATACATAGGTTGGACAAAGTATTTTATTTTTGCCTTATCTTTAGGTCTCTATTTTCTGACAAGAAAGGCTGCATTTAGAACTTCTTTGTACAAATAAATTTTCTATTAATTTTTGGAACTAATTTTGTCAAAACAAATGACTGTTTCTTTCATGGAGACTATTATAAGATTATATGCGTTATTTTTGTTTATATATATTTAAAGATCATTTTGACCAATCAAATAACTCAGCTGATTAGATAAAGGATAATACTTAACTCTTTTTACTGAGTGAGGGAAGACAAACGGAGTTTGAAAAAGAGAATATCCTTAGCTGAAGGGGAATGGTGATTGTTTGGCTTTGAATATGCAAGGGGCTGTGTTTCCCCACCAAACACTGCCTGGGTGCAGAATATGCTCTCTGCTTTTTTTACTGATGACCACATTCCTCTACTTAGAGTTAAGAAAGTGAATTTACCGTGTCTGAGAAACGGTAAAACTTCTCCAATGCAAAAGCTTCTGTCTGTGGGAAGGTAAGGTGGACCAAGAGGGATTGAGAAACCAGAGAATCAAGTCATATATGAGTAAATATAATTGCACAATTGGTTTTAATTGCATATATCATTTTCACATACATATGTATCAATTAATCGATTTTCACATATGCAAGGTATCCAACCCCCAAAGTATGAAATGAACTAAGAACAAAGCAAAAAAAAAAATGCTATATTTTCCTGCACTAAATCTCAATTACAATATTTGCTCCTTGAATATTTCAACTGGTCATTAGAAAATAATAAGATATTACTCTTTTTGCATTTCTATATTTCCCTAGAGAGCCACTCACTAGAAAAATTAATCTTGTCATCTTTCTGTGAGCTAAAGAATAATGGGCTTCACTATGTATCCTGATATTCTTACCAGTAGTGAAACTCAAAAGCTGCTTTGGTAGGATAATTTTTTTTTAAAGGAGAACCAGAATTGAGCATCTACACTTACAGTCTATTATGTTACCCATTGGACACTGTGTCTGTTGTTGGATGTGTGGTGGGTGTGGAAAGTGAGCTCTCTACCCCCATTTGGACATCACATACTTGATACTTCCCAGCACCTGGTTGATACATTCTAAATTGTATAGGAAGGAGGAGAAAGGTAGAGAAATGGAAAATGAAAGTGATAAAGCAAACCAAAATGAGAAGGGGAAATAAGTATTACTTTACTTCAGATTAATTACATTAGAAGGAAAAGTTGTCTTTATCAGTCATTTAAAGGAAAGGAAAACAGGAGCTCTACCCTTGTGATACAGAACTTTTTGTCCTGCGATAGTGTTTCAGCCAGTGCCAAGTGTCATGAAAAGAAAGAGGAGCAGGTAGACAGTAAGGAGGGAGAAAAAAGGGGAATAAAGAGTGAGAAAAAGAAGGAGAAAAGTATAAGGAAACCAGTAGATGGGGGTGTGGTGGGGAGAAAGAGAGAAAAGTAAATCTCCCTATTAAAATGTTTCAATATACAAATGATGTGCCTTTATTTTCATAACAACTTAATCAAATAAAAACTCAGGCACTGTTTTTGTCCCATGTATTACTCAGAGTATCACCATCCTCGATGTTCCTTCCATGCTACTGTGAATTGGGTATTTATTATGATTTGAGGGAGTTAATTAGACATGACTGAATTCGTTATTACTTTAGAATATGTTTAATGCTCAGTACTGAGAGATCATGGGCTTAGGGCTTTAAAAAGTTTTATGGATATGTAAATTACAGTGAATAATTCAGAAACCACAAGGAAACCTCAAAAAAAAAATTAAATCCTTTCAAAATCCTTACAAAGGTATCCTATATGAACCAGACTATTGTTTCTAAGATTTGAGTATGTTTTGACTTAAATATTCCAATACATTGGATTCTGGCCACAATTTCTCCTGTTACATAAACTTTGACATTTCTCTATTGCATATGAGTCCATCTGCTTTTAAATGTCAGTTGGCACATTCACATTAAAAGAAGTAAACTGATAGATATGCTGGTCAATAGAAACTCTCCCTTCCAGAAGAGGAAAGGGAGTTGATCGAGCTTATGTGCATATAAAGACGACATTACAAGTCTTAATAGAGGGGAACAACTCCATTCTGTACATCCAAATTCAGTTATGAGATTACTTCTGCAACTTCCTGTGGTCTCCTAATGATGTTCTCAATACAACTTCTTCTGGGTTTCATTTAACAGGCACAGCAAGGCAATAATAACACCTTCTTGTGTTTCCCATAGAGATTCAGAATAAATATCTTAAAAACATGAAAGTATGCATGAGCAAGAGACCACATAGTTCTACATGAACATCATAGCATTAACAATAGGTAATATTTTATGGAAACAATGAAAGGAATTACTTTGATAAAAGGAACAACTTTAATAGCTACATCCAATGACGTGTTAAGTAAGACCATCAGGAACACTCTCACGTTGCAAGTAAGAAATGATGTATTTTGTTAATTGAAGCAAAAAATGGTGTTGTTCCAGGAAGTACATTAGAGATTGATAAAGCTCTCATGTTGATAGATACGCTGTATAAAGTAGAACTGGATGTCACCATTTTATCCCTGAAGCTATTTTTGACAACTTCAGTTTCGATTGGACAAAACCAAAGGAATAGTTGTATCTTTTGGTTCCCAGACTCCACTTCCTCTCTGCACCACTCTATTACATATAACAAATTTACTTTCCAGTGAAAATTGGTATCCTGCCGAACCCGATGCATTTAATCGCCTACCTTATTCTTTCTCTTTCGTCGAAACCGCAGAAGTTCTTTGTGTTGTCTTGATACAAAATTTACAGCTGCATATTCCAGAAGTGCTGAAAACACAAAAAGGAGGCATACTGCCATCCAAATGTCAATAGCTTTGACATAAGAAACCTAGCAAAGAGAGAAAGAGTGAGCAAATTGAGTTATATTGTTGTGTCCATCAAGAACAAAACTGAATGTCTGATGCTAAATTGTACCATTTATATCAGCTGGAAAAAGAAAGCAATAAGACCAAGACTTTTTTTAACTTAATAAACTTTTTTTTATTTTTTAATAATTAATTTTTGCAAGTTTGTCTATTAGTCATACATTACAAACTGTGTATGTTTTGTTAAAAATTGTTGTCCAGTGAAACACAAGACCAAACACATGATGAAGAAAAAATAAGTTAAATGTAATTTTACCTTCAGTGTAGGATAGGATAATGCTCGAAAAAGTATGAAGTAACATTGAAATATAGATAATGCCACTTACCTTTTAGTTCCATATTTGCTTCACTAAATGTTTTTATTTTGAAATAATTTTAACATTAACAAACATGTGGCAAGAACAGTAAAAAAATAAATAAATAAATAAAAAACCAAAAAAACCCTCCCAAGTTCCCCAGTTGTTAATATTTGACCAAATGTTATATTTGTCTCTATCTCTATCATTTATGTTTTCCCCTTGAACTATTTGAGTATAATTTGCAGACATGCTGGCCTGTTACCCTGAAATACTTATGTGTATTTTCTAAAAGAAAATGACAATCTCCTACATAACTCTAGTACGACCAATAAAATGAGATTGATGCTAATAAGATACTACCATTTAATCCTAAAAGCCCATTCTCATTTCAGCAACTGTCCCAAGCGATGGCCTTTTTAGCAGAAAAACAGTTTTTGAACCAGTTCCAGGATTTAATCTAGAATTGTGTGTTGCATTTTGGCTTCATATCTCTTTAGTCTTCAGTGTGGAATATTTTGGTCAGTTTTTTCTCGCCTTCTGTGACCTTGATATTTTCGATGAATGTAGACCAGATATTTTCTGAGTGTCTCCCTTTTTTGGTTTATCTGATGTTTCCTCATTTTAAACTCAGATTATGGGATTCTAACAGGAACAGTGACGCCCTGTTCTTCACAGTGTACCATACCAGAAGGCACTGAACGTTGATCAGTTGGTTAAGGTCCTGTCTACCAGGTTTCTCTACTATAAAGATATAAATTTCCCTTGTGTGGAGATATTTGAAACTACATAATATCTTCTTACTCTTTAAACTTTTATCCGTTAGACGCTGATGACTTTTGTCTGAATCAATTATTACAATTATGACTTCCAAATGTGGGTTTTCTAATTCCATCTACACGTATTAGTTAGCATTCTATAGTAAGGAAAGTTTCTGTCTCCCACATTCATTTATAATAAATGATTTTGTTTAATGGGTTATAATGCATTAACATCACTATTTTGATGCCCACACTATACAGACTGGGTCAGCCCCTAGAAGTTAGGCCATGCATCCTTTTGGCAAGTCTGCTTCATGATTTGGGTGCTTTCTTACTTTCTGGCATGAGGCATTGCTGACTCATCTGTAATTTCCTATTCCAGTCCTTGATTAAGGCCTTCCTTCCTTCCTTCCTTCCTTCCTTCCTTCCTTCCTTCCTTCCT